GGTACCGGGGACCGGTACCGAACCGTACGTACGACGACGACGACGTACGACCGACGACGGTCGGACCGTACTCGACGGCGTCGACGAGACGTGGCCACGGGGCAAGCAGCAAACCCACCAGTCCCTCCCCCAGGAGGAGGCAGTTAATAGTGGTCCTCCGGGGTCCCCTTGACTTGCCCAGTGGTGCCTGTGATGGCTTCAGAAGCCACTCCGCCTCTGACAGCTGGCCCTGCAATCTGGTCGTTCAGCACAGACACTTGGGACAGATGGGGCCACAGCCGATAGCCTCCCTCAATAGTTCTACTCTCGGCCAAACTCAAGTTGTCACAGGTCGGATATGCTGACAGGCCCTGGGCCACGCCTGCTCACTGTGCCCCACATGTGTTCAGTCCACCTGCAGAGTGAGGTGACCCACAGAACTGACCCCTGCCATGCTCCCAGGATGCTGGCTCAGATCCTCGTGAGTCCCAGACGGGGTGCAGTTTGCATCTCAGATGACCCTTAGCTTCCCCTCTGAGGGCTTCACAGTGGCATCAACCCACACACTGCAGGGGGTGGTCCTCCCCACTAGGCAAGGTGAGCTCAGGGCGTCTGCTGTCCGTCATGACTTGCACAGGTGCTGCCCTTGGGCTGTGCCGTCTCACTAGCCTGGTAGATGGTGTTCTGACCGTTGCTCCTGGGCATGGAGACAGGCATCTGTCCCCCACCCAGGACAGCCTGGGGTCCAAAGAGAGGATGTGGTCAGGGATGGGAGTTAAGTGGCGATAATCAGAGGTGACAATGACCAGAAGGCTGCCCCGCCCCCTGTGGAGAGGCGCCTGAGGCCCACCCTCTGCACATCTGAACAGGTAATCCAGGTCGGATTTGGTTTGGGTCACCGGTACGTGGGTTTGCTTGAGACACTGGAGCAGTGTCACCAAGCACTTGCAGCCTCAGTTGCTGCACGTAGCCTAACCGAAGACCACTTGAGCATGAATCAAAAAATAAGTTCTGAGAGGAACTTTTAAAAAGCAATTTGAACTAAAAATGAAAACACAACTTACTGAAATTTGTGAGAAGCAACAGAAGCAGTGCTTAGAGAGAAATCTATGGTATGAATGTGTGTTCTAGGAGAAAAGGAACGACCTAAAATCAGTCATCCAAACTTCTCATCTAGGAAACTTGAGAGAGAAACCCTATATACACTGAAAGCAAACAGAGTAAAAGAAATGATACAAACTGGGCAGAAATCAATGAAATTGAAAAGAGGAAATCATTTTTCTAAAAATCAATGAAACTGAAATCTGGTTATTTGAGGGGAAAAAGTAACCAAGACTGATAAACCTCTAGCCAGGTTAGCCAGAAATAAAAAGAGGAAACAGAGATCACTACAAAGAGAAATGAAAGAGAGGCCGTCAGGACAGGTTCCATGGACGTTAAGGGTCATAAAGGAATACTAGGAGCAGCCCCGAGCCTGCAAACCTGGTAACTTACAAGTACAAAACAATTCCTTGAAAGACACAAACTATCAAAGCGCACAGAAGGAGACATAGACACACTAACAGGCCTGTTAAAGAAATTGAATGAATAATCAATAATCATCCAAGCAAGAACACCCCAGGCCCAGATGGTCCCACTGGTGAAGTCTACCAAACATGTAAGGAAGAAATGGCACCAACTCTCTACAACCTTTTCCAGAAAATAGAGACAGAATGCTTTCTCGCTCATTCTGAGGCCAGCATTAACCTAATAAAACCAAAATCAGACAAAGACATAGGAAGAAAGGAAAACTACAGATCAATATCTCTCTTGAATATAAATGCAAAAATTCTCAACAAAATATTAGCAAATTAAATCCAGTAATGAGTTACACATCACAGAATAATTATATACTACTAACAAGTGGGGTTTATTCTGGGAGCGCAGAGCTGTTCAACATTTTTTTAATCAATCAATGTAGTCTATCACATCTGCAGGCTAAGAAAGGAAAACAATATTATCTTATCAACTGATGCAGAAAAACATTTGACAAAACCAAACACCCATTCATGATTAAAAACGCTCAGCAAACTAGGAACAGGAGGGGACTTCCTCCACTTGATTAAGATCACCCACCAAAAACTTATTTGACTAACGTCAGTCACACTGTATTGTGAGAAGCCAGCTGCTTTCCCCTTAAGATCAGGAGCAAGGTGCCAGGATGTCCCCTCCAATCACTCCAGTTCAACATCGTTCAAGAAATACAGGATGATGAAATCAGACAAGAAGTAAAATATACACAGACTGCAAAAGAAGACATAAAATTATCTTTGTTCACAGATGACAAGACTGTCTATGTAGGAAACCCAAAGAATTAACAAAACAAGAACAAAAGAGAAAAAACTCCTGGAATGAATAAGCGATAAAAATAAAGTTGCAGGAAACAAGCTTTAGGGGCAAAAGGCCGCTGCTTTCCCAGATGTTAGCGACGAACAGGGGAAATCTGACACTCAAAGCAGAATACCGTCACATTAGCACTTCAGAAAAGTAAACACTTGGGTACAAAACTTTAAAATATCTGTACAGGATCCACTGCCCAGTGCCCGACGGCCAAAAGCAGAGACCAACACCAGCCCCTCTTCCACCCCGGGGGTGGTGTCTTGAGGGGAGCAGGGCTTCGTTCTTGCTGGAAGTGACACCTGGGCTATGGGTGTCCGTCCCTGCCACAATGCTTCTGCCAGGACTTCCAGAATGCCACCTCCACCGTCATGGTGTTCCAGCCAGGCATTCACCTCGCAGCAAGTGAAAAGCAGTGGTGGGTCCACACTCCCATCTCCCTGAAGCAGCTGGCCTGGTAGGAGGGTGGCCAGAGGGTGGAATGATTATGGAGCTAGCCGGGTGTCACACCATGGAGCTGGGGTCACATTCTCCAGAGGTAGTAGATGCTCTAAGTCAGCAACCCACAGGCCCCTCACAGCCGAGATCCACAGGTCCAGGTATGAAGAAGAGGAAATGGCGGTGTTCTGTCATCCCAAATGGTCCACCAGCGAGATGTTTGCTTCCCGTGCCTGCAGCCCTGGGCTCTGCTGGTCCAGCAGTCTCAGAGTCCAATGGAGGAGTGTATCTCGGGTTGCCTGGACACTCCTGGCTTTAAAACTGAAAGTCCCACATTGTAGGAATCCCCTCTATCCTGGGCAAGCCCTAGAGTGCTTCCACTAGGGGACACATCAGACTGGAAGTTGACTGCCACCTGGCCACCTGCGTCTCCTCACACCAGGGAATCAGAGGGTCACAGAAGGAAGGGCTGAGTTTTCATTCCAGAATGGGATGAGGAGGAGATGGTCTGGAAGGCAGGAGATGCTCAGGGTGTCTCTGAGTGACCCTAGGACCCGGAGTAAATGCCACCAGAAAACTAGAACCACCCAGCACAGGCACAGACCCTTTGGGTCACTCCACCAAGAAGCCACGACCAGCTGCAGCGCTGACTGAGGACACAGGGAATGTGGGGTGAGCAGGGGAGGAGGCAGTTACAGCTACCAGCTAGGGCCACATGGCTGTCGTGACAGCGTCACGTGACGGCCTCCTGTGTCTGTTCAGCCGCTCTTCTTTCTCCCGCTTCCCCTCCCACCCCTTCCCTCTAACACGTTAGTGAGAGTTAACCTGACATCTCAGTGTTTGTGTCATTAACGCTCACACTTTCTTCTAGAGTGTTTAAGTGTTCAACATTCTTAAAGAGAGCCTGTCATTCAGTTAGAGTCAGTGCCACCTAAAGATGTTAAAGTGACATGAAAGCTTCATCAGTCCCTTCTGGAGAGACCAGCCTGTTTTCGGCTGGGATAGTTGCACCACGTTAAGCAGAAGCCTTTGTTTTTATTTGGAAGTTGAACATGATTTAAAGTAGAAGTGTGTGCATGTGTGCTGAGGTGTCAAGGAGCCTCTGCTGGGTGGTTCTGTTGTTAAGCTGGAATCCACTTCCCAGAATCCCCTTCCCCATATGGTTCGGGTCAGAGGTGGGCGAAAGAGAAACTCATGTGACATTGGAGACAGCAGTGAATCGTGCCTGCTACTCTGAAGGGCTGTCTCGGCCAGATGCGGCACAGCTGGAACGGCCGCGTCAGGGAGATCTCAGCCATCCACACTTCACCTCACCTGCTGGCTTCCAGCTGACAGAGGCGACTTCCTGACCCTCCCAGGCAGTGGTGTGCCCAACACTTCCCTCCTGGCACGCACCTTCTGATGCCCGCTTTCTGAAATTTCGTTAATGTTTCAGACTGATGTGACTCCCCCGCAGTGGCCCCCTAGTGATAACAGCAGGGAGGAAGCCCTCCCCAGTCTCGTAAGCTCTTCGACACACTTTGTTTTCTTCACAGCGTGGGGAACTGTTACTTGTTCAAGTGGGTCTCTGCATAGAAACGCCAGGGAAGGAGGGACCTTATCTGCCTTGCTCATTACTGTGCCCCTTAAGCCTCTGACTCAGAAGGATTCTGGGTAGCTACTGGCTGAGCCAGCATATGGTGGAGACCCAGGGGTAAGAGGGGATGCGCGTGGTGCTTTACAGAGAACTGGAACCAGTGGAGGGAGGGACAGAGGGAAGTCAGGCAGGCAGCTGCGCTAGCGGGGGGGTGGAGGAGACAGACAGGGCAGGGAGGGGTTGAGATGGTCCAGGCAAGGATGGGCCCAAGTGGGGCAAAGTCCATCATCAACCTACACTCACCTCGGGCCACCAGCTCAGCCATACCTCAGCCAGACACAGGAGAGCTGGGCTGAGCACCACCCCCGGCCCCTTCGGAACCGCCATGCCCCTCCTGCTTATGCACCTCTCCACCTTCACTCTGCCCTCAGTGAAGGCCACCACCTTGCCCCTCTGCAGCCTCCGTCCACCTGGCAGCCAGGTTGGACCCTGGCCTTCCAAGCTAAGGTCCTTTGGTGGTTCCTCATGGCCCTCAGGGTGAAGCCACCTGCTTTTGAGACCCTCTAAGGAGCCCGTCCACCCACACACACTCCAGACGCCCATCACCACTTATCCCCCTATGTCTCTCCCTCAAACTTCCTTTTTCGTCTCTCCACTTTGAGCCCCACTCCTCCTGGTTGCACGGTTAGCAGGAGACTTGCTCCAGGTCCAAGCCCAGGCCGCAGCATCCTTTCCCTCACGTTCCCCAAGCTCCGAGTCTCCCCATCACAGTCCCTACACCCCTGTCCCCCGTGTCCCCATTGTCCCCCGACCCAGAGCATGCGCCTTCCGCGGCCTCCATCACTAGACCCCGTGTCCCCGAGTCCCTCTGTCCCCCACACCTCCCCTGTCTCGCGCTCCCCCGTCCCCGGTCCTATGCACCACCCCGTTCCCCTTGCATCCTCTGACCCTGACCCCTGCCCCTAGTCCTCCGCTCCTCCCAGTACCCCGCATCCACGGGTGCCCGCGCCCGCGCGCTGCGCTGGCCGGCGCGCCCAGGTGGATGCGCGCGCGTTGCGTGGAGACGAGCGGTGGGCACACCCTAACCCGCCGGCCCCGCCTCCCACACCGCGGATTGGCTCCCCCTAGGCTGGCCGGGTCCCGATTGGCTCGCGCCGCGTGGAGGCCGGGCCCGTTTCACGGTGGGTAGCACCGCAGCGTGGATGCTGCTTGGTCCCGCCGCGGCCCCCAGGAGCGTGGAGCCCAAGCGGCCGGGCGGGGCCGGGCGGGGGCAACGCTGGGAGCCGCTCCGCCGCCCACCCAGGGCCCTCGGCCAAGGGCAACCTGGGGTCGCGGCCGCACCCTGTGGCCGCGGGCGGCGGACAAAGAGCCATGCGGGGCTGGGGGACGCAGCGCGGGGCGCGCGGGAGCGGGGGGCCGCAGCGGCGCCGCTGAGCACGGCCCGAGGCGGGGCGGGGCCGGCCGCGATGCCGTGGTTCCCGGTGAAGAAGATCCGCAAACAGATCAAGCTGCTGCTCCTGCTGGTGCTGCTCACCTGCGCCGCGTGGCTCACGTATGTGCACCTGAGCCTGGTGCGCCAGGGCCGCGCGCTGCGCCAGCGGCTGGGCTACGGGCGAGGTACGGGAGGGGGCGCGCGCCCTGGGGGCGAGGGGCAGTGAGGGCCCCGAGCAGCGCTGGGCCCAGGGCCTCCCATCGCGCCCGGGTCTCAGCATGGGCCAGATCGGCCTGGAGACCCCATCTGCCTTTCCTAGCTCGGCTCTATTGGGGCAGGGGGTGCGGCTGGGCAGCGCCCGAATGCCCAATGACGTCAGCAGTGACGTTCGCGACCCTCTTGGGGAGCGTCCCCGAACCTGGGCGGACTCCGGGATCCAGCCCGGAGCGGGTAGTGACGGGGTTAAAGGTGGGCTCCTGGAGAGGTCTGCGCTCTCAGGCCCTGAATGCTGGGATTCCCGAGAGGCCAAGTATGGCTGAGCCTCCACCACTTGCCTACTTAGCAGAGCCTCAGTTTCCCCATCTGCTGGGGAGGAGGAGAGGGACAGAGATCCTTCTTCTGGACTTAGGTGGAGGGGGACGAGGCCTGGGGGGAGCTGACCCTTGCAGTTGCAAGCTTCCTGGAGGAGGTGTCCTAGGTAAACCTGTGATCAGGGACTGAGACGCTTGTGTGTTGGAAGGTGAGGCATGCGGATGGGGACCCAGCCTGGGGAACCTCAAACTGCTAGAGTGAACTCTCCCAGGCTCCTCGAGCTCAGGCTCCAGTGGAGACAGACAGTGATCAGGTCCTGGTGAGCCCTGTGAGAAAGAGTCAGGGGAAGGGTCCTGCCACTTTAGCTAGGGGGATCCCAGAGGGCCTCTTGGAGGTGGTGACCTTTGACACACAAGATTTGCAGGAGGAGGGGCAGAGCACCTGGAACCTGGGGGTAAGTGATGAGAGAGAACGACCCACCTCAGGGCAGGGAAGATGCCAGCCAAGCTGCTCCTGGCCCTTCTTGAGGAAGTGGGATGTCCTTAAGATGGGCAGTGCGAGTCTTGCCTCCCAAAGACTCAGCACGATTCTGACTCACGGAAGTCTTGGCCCACCAGAAAGGGGTCCAGAGCTCCCCATTCAGTCCCACAACTGGCTCCACAGACTCCCAGGCCAGGGGTCAGGGGCTTGTTCCAACCACCCCCAAGAGTCCATGCATCTCGCAGCTGTCCCTCCCTCTAGAGGCCCCCAGCACTACTCGGGCCCTCAGAGAAGCCCCCCGCCCTCCAGCTATCAGCAAGCAAAGCAGAACCCGAGTGTGACCCAGCAACACAGAACATAACCTAACTGCCTCTGTGGTTTTCCGAGCAACCTGTCCTCCCCAACCCGACTTCCTGAGCAGCTGGGGAGCTTAGCTCAGCAACTGGGAGGGGGCAGAGGTGTGGGAACACCACTTCTGAGGCCTCCTTTGCTCTCAGCTGGACCAGCAGGGAAGCTCGGGACTCATCAACCTGTCCGGCTCTCCTGGGTAGGCCAGAGCTCAGGATTATGAAAAAGCTCAAACTCTCAGGTGGCACCTGCCAAGAGCAGCCCCAGCGCGAGCATCTCACCTCTGGCTGCAGCCTGCCTCCTGTCCAGCTACAGACTCCCACCAGGGCAGGGCTTGTGAGAAGCTGGGTGTCTGAACACGTCTGAGGCCTTCCTGACGGCCCTGTCAGCACCGTCTTCACTTCCACCAAGAAGGCTTCCCAGTGTCCAGCAGCCTGTGCAGGCAGAGGTCCTGGAGGGAGGGCGAACCAGGAGGCAGGAGGCCTGTCGGGTTCTCACTGTGCTGGGGCTCAGCCCCTACAGGACTGGGATGGCAGCCTGGGTTGGGCCCCCACTGCAGGAGGCTCCCAATACCCACAGACTCACCTTGGTGGGCAGGGAGCATCAGGCCAGGCCAAGGAGCTCACCTCCCAGCTAGACAGAGGACAGGTGTGGGGGAAGAACCCATAATAAGAAGCAGGGGGCAGGCACCATGGAGCTCTCACAGGCAGAAGGCCGTGGGCCACCCTCCTCCCCCGGAGAAGGCACCCAGGCCAACTGTGTCCATCTAACTCCTCGGGATCTGGATCGAGGGGTGGGCATAGATGTTGAAGCCTAGGTTTGGCCCTGCAGCAGAGGGGCTCCTGGCTTGGGTGTCCCTGGATGGGAGCAGACATGGGGTACAGGGAAGCCTCACCTTGGAGGCTCAGATCCCAGGATATGGAACCCCCAGGTCCACAGCTTAGAGAGGAGGTCTGGAAAGTTAAGGGCAGTGTGGAGGTGGTCTGGCTTGGGGAGTTTTAGGGGTGCCAAGCTCTAGAGATGGCCACAGACCTGGGAGGGGTTTCTCAGGGAGACAGTCTCCCTCCAGGAACTGGCCCCAGGTCCTCTGGCAGCCAGACCAGCGTGCCTATCCCTCCTCTGCCCAGGCTGGTGCCAGGGTACCTTTGGTCCCGGACCCTGGCCTGGAGGGCAGTAGGTGGCACATGAGCCACGGGCTGGGGCTGGCATAGTTTCAAGATCATGGTGCCCTCCTGACAGCAAGCTGCAGCCCTAACCTTTGGCTCTCAGTTCTGGTAAGGGAGACAGACACCACTCTAGCACATGGGAAAAGAGCAGAGGGCAGAGCAGTCCCGGGGCCTCTTTGGAGGCAGAGCCACCGATGAGGACAAGAGGACGGGTGTGCATGTGCAGGTATACACACCAGCACCTGCACACAGAGCTGCTCCTTCACGCCGGCAGGGCTGGGAAAAGCCAGGTGTAGGACACGGACAGGGGCTGTCTCCACAGAAGTGAGTGTGTATGGGAGAAGGGCCCCAGCAGAGAGCACTTCCAGATGTAGGGCGGGGCATCAGGAAGGGGCAGATGTGGGGAGGGGGGCTTCAGTGGAGACACCACTGGCCTTCTAGCCCCCGCTGAGCCCAGGAGCTCAGCTGTGGCCTTGGAGAGCCTAGCCCCAGTCACGCCCCATGTGCCACCCACAGAAGGTGAAAAGCTGAGCAGTGTGACCGACGGCCGGGGCGTCGGGGTGTCGCTGTCCACACAGAGGGTGGAGGACTCCAGCGAGAGCCGTGAGGAGGAGCATGTGGTGAGCAGCGCCGTGGGAAGAGCCTGTGTGCACAGCACGCACAAGAGCCAGGGCCACTCGCGGGCCGGTGGCCTCCAGAGCTGTGGGCTGTGTGGGTGGAGGACGCAGGCGTAGCCCCGAGCGGGGCCCAGAAACAGATACCCCGGCCTGGGCGGATGTAGGTGGCGCACATTGGGTGGCCAAGTGTCTGGGCGGGGTGGTGAGGGTCTTCTGGGCCTCGGCATGGTTGGATGTGTGAGGGGTCTCCGTGGGGTGCGTCCCCATGTATCTGTGTGTGCGTGGCCCTTCCCTGCCTCTGCTTCTCAGCTCTGACCCTTGTGCCCTTCTCCCCTGCAGCCGGAAGGTCAGGACCCAGACGTGCTGTTTCCTGGGGGGGCCCGAAGGCCCTTCTCACTTAACCTCACCCATCAGGTGCCCCCCTGGCGGGAGGAGGTGAGCTCTGCTTGGCTGCCTGGTAGGGGTGGGCAGGGCAGGGCAGCGGTGCAGGAGGTAAGCCCTCCTCCTGCCCCCAGTACAAGGGGCAGGTGAATCTGCATGTGTTTGAGGACTGGTGTGGTGGCGCCGTGGGCCATCTGCGGAGGAACCTACACTTCCCGCTCTTCCCTCACGTGAGTGCTGGGGGCTGGGCGGTTGGCCCACAGGTGGGCAGGGGTATGCGGGGGCCCTGATATCGAGGCCACTGCCACCCCCAGACACGCACCACAGTGAAGAAGCTGGCCGTGTCCCCCAAGTGGAAGAACTATGGCCTCCGGATCTTCGGCTTCATCCACCCGGCGAGAGATGGTGCGGGCATGGGGTGTGGGGGGAGGGGGGCAGGAAGGCCCCACACCCCCCTGAGCCCTGTCCTGTGGCCTAGGAGACATCCAGTTCTCCGTGGCTTCAGATGACAACTCTGAGTTCTGGCTGAGCCCAAACGAGAGCCCGGCGGGCGCCCAGCTGATGGCCTTTGTGGGCAAGGTACCCCCACCTGAAGCCCAGCCCCTCCATCCACACCCCTTCTGTTTTCACGGGCCTCCTGCGGCCTTGGTCACTTGTTCCCTCCAGCTTCTTAGGAATGGGGACTGGATGGGGCTGGTGCCCCCAAGGAGGGGGTGAGCCCCCTGCCCCTTCTGTGTCACCCTCCAGACTGGCTCCGAGTGGACAGCGCCTGGAGAATTCACCAAGTTCAGCTCCCAGGTGTCCAAGCCCAGGAGGTGAGTGGCTGTGGGAGCGTGTGTCTGCGTGTGTGGGGACTGGGTGACATGCGTGCATGAGGCCAGTGCTGCTGTGCCTCCGTCTGCTTGGGGCTCCTGGGGCCTGCCCCTGACCTCTCTGTCCCCAGGCTCATGGCCTCCCGGAGGTACTACTTTGAGCTGCTGCACAAGCAGGATGACCGCGGCTCGGACCACGTGGAAGTAGGCGTGAGTGCAGCTGCCCTCCTGAGGGCTTCAAGACCCCACCTCCCCGGACCTGCCCTCACCTCCGCTGCTCCCTGCAGGGCAGCAGTGTGGACCCTGCCCCAGAGGAGCACCCAGCCTAGCTGACGAAGCAGAGGACAAAGCAGACGCTCATGGGCTTAGGCTTCACGGTTCCCGGTCAGGGCCCAGGGGGTTCATGGAGGAAGTGGCCCTGGAGTAGAGTCTTGGGAGATGATAGACATCCACCAGGAGACGAGCAGAGGAATTTGGGGTGCATCAAATGAACTCCAGGTCCCCACCCAGAGTCTTCTGGAATCCAAGCAGGCCGGTGTCCAGATCAGGCAGGACTTCCCCCTGAGGAAAATCCCTCTGGCCACTACTTGAAGAGAGCCTGGTAGGAGGGACTTCTAGGGGCAGCCTTGGGGCCTGAACCAGGGAGGTGAGAATGGAGGAAGTGGGGGGTTGCACAGCTACCAAGAGCGTGAGCCTGGCTGGGTGTGGGTTGGTGAGCAGGGTGGGTCGGGTTGGGGGGCATGTTGCAGGTGCCTGGTTTGTGTGCAGTGAGTGTCACCTTAGCTCAGCTTGGCACAGAGTCTAGGCTGGAAATGCAGATTCAAGGTGACCTTGTGGAAGCCGAGGGGGCGACGAAGAGGGCCCGGCATAGCCCATAGGAACCCCATTGTGAGGGCATGGGAGAGGGACAGAGTCTGCAAGGGAGACTGAGAGGGAGTGGCCGGAGAAGCTGGGGAATGGGGATGGGGAGGTCCAGCAGGGAGCGGGGGCTGCTGAGTCCATCCCTTGGAAGGACAGCTCCACCCTCCAGAAGAGCCGTGGCTGCAGCAGCAGGAGCAGGTAGGGCAGAAGCCATAACCAGAAGATGAGGAAGCACCCAGGATGTCAGGAAAGGCCTGGAGGGAGCATGGGAGGTCCTCGCCTGCCTCCAGGGACCCTAGCCGTCTGGGCCTCCTTAGGACCCCCTCCCATCCACCTTCCCAGCTTCCTGCACCCTTGACCAGGCCATCCGCTTTAGCTCCCCACCCCGCATCGGGAAGAATCACTCATCCCTGACCAAGCCAAGTTCCCACCTTGACCCCTGTCCTCTGGTCCTGACAATCCTCTCTACCCTGCAGTGGCGAGCCTTCCTGCCGGGCCTGAAGTTCGAGGTCATAGGCCCTGCTCACATCTCCCTGTACACAGGTGCAGTGCCTGGTGCCTCTCTGGGAAAGGGGGAGGGCTCCTAATGGGTGGTCTCTTTGGGATGGTGTCTGGATGTAGGTGAGGAGGGGTCCCTGGGCACTCCCGGGGACCCCCACATCCTCTGTCTCTAGATGAGTCAGCCCTGAAGATGGACCACGTGGCCCACGTCCCACAGTCCCCAGCCAGTCGCGTCCAGAGGCTCCTGCTGCAGGAGGAGCCCAGAGCCGACATGCTGCGGCCAGATCCACGAGACACCTTCTTTCTCAGTGAGAGGGGGCCCGCGAGGGGCGTGGGGCGGGGGTTCCAGGCCGGCCACCCTGTGACCATCCCTCCTGCAGCGCCTCGGTTGGAGCCCTCGAGTCTGGAGAATGTGCTGGAGCCCTGTTCCTACGCCCCCACCTACGTCGTCAAGGACTTTCCTATCGCAAGATACCAGGGACTGCAATTTGTGAGTGCCTCTCGCCAAGACCTTCCCTGAGACCCAGGCCTCCCTCTCCCCAGGGTCCCCTGAGCCTCCTCCAGATCCTCTGGAAGACGCCTGGCCTGAGCACTCTGCCCTGTCTCAGGTGTACCTGTCCTTCGTTTATCCCAATGACCACACGCGCCTCACTCACATGGAGACGGACAACAAGTGCTTCTACCGCGAGTCACCGCTGTATCTGGAAAGGTGTGTGGGTGGTAACAGGGAAAGAATGGGGCGGGGCCTCTGCGCAGCAGGGTCTCTGATGCCCCGCCCCCGCCCCAGGTTTGGGTTCTATAAATACATGAAGGTGGACAGGGAGGAAAGGGAGGAAGATGAAGAGGAGGAGGTGCAGCGCCGAGCCTTCCTCTTCCTCAACCCGGATGGTGAGTGCCCCCCACCGCCTCCGCCCCCAGCTAGGCCCTCCCGGGCAGGGTGACTGAACTGCCCTTTCCACAGACTTCCTGGAC